TCCAGTTTAGCTAGGCTCAGAAGTGTACAATTCCAGTCTGTCAGTCTTTAACGGTGGTTATCATAAATATAGTTCAAAACAGTGTTACTTATCATAGATAACTCTGGCACTGGCCTACCAAATCTTTGAACCATGCTCATCAGAATCCAATTCGTCAAAGGAGAAACACTGGTAATCTTTATATGGAGGGCTCAAGTTTTTTGATGAAAAAACATCATATAACTACACGAACTCTTCATCATTTATTGCCTCTGACGAGTGACAAAGTGTCAAAATATCCCGAAGTTCGCGAAAGTTAGCCATTTTATCTCGACGTTTATTCGTCGCCGGACGTCTGAAATCTTAAAGCCAAATTTCCCGCGCGAATGACACCGTACTCACCTCAGGTCCTCCTCTGTCGTGGCGTCCTCAACAGACGACCCCGTCCTCGATCTTAAGGTCCCTATTGCTCCATATTATCCCGGATCCAGATGATCTGGGACTTCACACAAATAACTTCTCTTCAGCTTGCAATCGTCGTTGTAACTATCGCTTCTCCATTCACTATTCTTTTAAACATCTTGTTGATTGAAGCAAAAAGAAAAGTAAGAAAATTTCAAAGAAACTCCGACATTCTGATCTCCAGTTTAGCCGTGGCCGATCTTTGTATGCCACTGACAATCAGTTTAGATGCATTGATTCTTCGAGAAAATCCATGAGATAACATTATCTGCACGAGAGTTCTTGTTGCTACGTTGGCACTCTTGAGAGAGGCATGTGGCGATATAGTTAAGAAGATGGAGTATAAAGTTATGATAACAAAATCACGCGTAAAGAAATATTCAGGAATTGCTTGGGTGTTAGCGTTTACATCGATTGCTTATTTTTGTATCAACAAAAACGCTCCTAAAGAAATATGCAGCAATTGCTTGGGTAACAACGTTCATATCGATTGCTTCATTTTATGGATCAGCCGTTGCTGGTGTCGGTTATGAGGTTCTCCTATTCCTGGATGTCATCTTTAGTCTTGGTTGGTTAGCTGGAACATCAATGATGGTGAACGTTTATCCCAAAGTTTATTTGAAACTCAAAAAACAACAGCCACGTCATACCACCCAAGTGAGTGACTTGATCAAAGCCAGAATAGAATGGTTAAATTTCCTATACTGCGTGCCTGCTGAAAGTTCCTATTCTAATCACTACGATTCCTTTATTAGTTTTGTTTTTCGCAGCCCTATGTTCACAATATTTTCGCGATTTTACGGTTTTTCGGTGGGCAGAGATCGTCCTTCAGGTAAACTCTATAGTAAATCCTGTGCTCTATATTTATAAGAACAAACGTTATAGTAAAATTTTTCTTCAACTGTTTCCAAGTAAAAAGAGCCAAAATAATGCTATTCTTAGGAAATGAAGCCAAAAGATGATACAGGACGCACCGGCGTTCCTTTTCGTGCTCTCGAGTTGCTGAAAAATGCAAAAACGTCCGAAACATTAGACGCTCATTTTCTTGTACGGAAGGGACACAGGCGCGAAAACTCAGGGCTGAGAGTGCTACACGTTGCACCGATGGAAAGGGGAATGTCATTGCTATGCCATGGTTCGAAGGTACATGATACTTTACAACTCTTCCCTCCAACTAGCGTAGTGCAACTGATCGAACATACACCCAAAAAAAGCTAGTGAGGAGGAATAGATAGTTCTTGGACGATAAAAGCTGCGGTAAAAGGTTATTTCGCAGAGATTATGAGATTAAAGTCACCGAGTAGAAACATCGTTGTGGAGATAAACGCTGGTGAAAATAGAGCAAAAGATCCCTCTCGACGACGTAATTCAGCGTCATAGGTTCTTTTGAATTGAAGAGTTGTCACAGAAACATTACTCGTGAAATTAAAACAAGTGATACAAAAGCCAGATTGGATTTTAATTTTTGTTTTTAAGTTATTAGATCACCAGCGAAATAAACTTTCTGACTAAAACAAAAACGATATCACTTTTGAAAAAGAAACGCTGCACTGCGAACATGAAAATTAACAAAAGAAGTCCTTATGTATGTTGTCTGGCTAGCGAAAACCAAAGATGAAGAGGCAAAGAACACAATAGAAGGAATCTTGTATTTTTTCAATATCTCTGCCTAAGAAAAAAATCGTTTATTTTTTCGATGAAGTCAATGATAACTTCGACTAATTCACATATTCGATTTATGCTATTGACGTTTATTTTTTAAAACAGCTCAATTCTCATGCTTGGTGACTTATATCGCTGGTAGTTGCAGCTAAAAATATTGAAGATACAAATCTTTTTGCCTTTCTATAGATGATCAAACTACGCAATTTAGCCAAAACTTAAAAATCTGCAAATCTATAAATTCTAGAATCTTTTGACATTTTGGTTTTGTTGACCACTTGCCGCGTTCTTTCTGCTTACATGAAGAGTCAAGTAAGTTGATTTTAACACGATCACCACCAAATAAACACTAATCAGTACAGCACGCTTTTGATCGTTCAGTTTTGGAAATTTTCATCCCAGATAAGGGCAAGGAACGGAACTAGCACATGAAATCAAGACAAAAATATGTTATGTTTGTTACAGCCACGTTTAATAGCATTTGATTTTGATAAATAATGACTTTCCAAATTGCCCACATAATTAGATAGATTATAATTATTAAAACTTAACATCTGTTTTTAACAATTCGAAGTACTATTTTCTTTCATTCCTATAATTTCTGTAATACTTGTTGCAAAATTCGCGATAAAATGTGTCGATCTTTTGAAAGACCTACTATCCCTTATATGCTAAAACAATCTAAAACGGTTTTACTGCTTCATTTTGAATAAAGAGAGACATTCAGTTTTTTTTTCGGGAACTCAATAAATATTTTGCGCCAAATATTCTCTTGATAGGCAAAATATGATGTAGGACAACTGATTAGAGACTCGTTGGCTTCTTTGGCTGTAATTCGTAATCGGTCCAGGTGTAACTTGGCCAATCACTGAAGTGACGCTCGTTCTCGCTTTCTGCGTTCTTGAGCTTTTCAATGGTCTTACTTATGGCCTCTTTTATGTTGTTCGAATTAGGCAAATCCATTGGCCTGAAATGTAAAAGGTGAGTTATTTCATTTTTTTTTTATTTATCATTTATTTTTTTAACAATTTGCCAAAGGCAGGTAAATTTACAATAGGACAAGGTTGTCCCTTACTGGGTAAATTACCCTACCCCATCCCGTAAAAGCAGACAAAATTGAAACCCAACCCACTTAAAAGCCCCCATGCCAAAAAAACAAGCAAACAAACAAAAACAAAAACAAACAAATAAACAAGAAATAAAAACAAAAAACAAAAACAAAAACGATAAAAAACAGCAAAAACATAAAACAGTTGGTTAACATGTACAAGAATTAAGAGCATTGAAACGACGATATTTTACACAAACTAATTTGCAGGAACGGATTTCGTCTTGATTGAAAACTTTGCTAAGTCTTTGATAAAAAAAGAAAAATAGTTTTTTTGACGAAAGACGGTAATTTCTCTCTGCTCTTATGTTATCCGGTAAGGCGTTCCATATATTACAGATTCTTACAGAAAAGGAATTTCTATAGAGTGAGGTTTTAGCTTCCTTATTTTTGAGAAAAAGACCAGAGGCGCCATGGCGGGAGCGCCCACTACAAAACTCAAAGAGGACGTTTCTTTTCATAATTCGTGTAATTTATCAGAGCCAGAAAAGATTTACATCCAAAAATCGAACTCCTTTTTGGTTATTATATGGCAAGTAGTTTTTTACTCACATAACGTTCATTTCAGCGCATTTCATTATTTGTAGCGACTTTTGGTCGTCTCCTCCAAGAATCTTAGGCCATATAAAGTACAAATCCTGTACTTGCGCCTGTGTGCAAAAGTAGCAAAGAAATGGTAGTAGCATAGTCAAACATATTGGAGCTCGAATAGACTCTCTTTGTAACTATTTCCAAAACATGAAATATATGAGAAGTGCCTATCGTTATGATCAGGGGTTTTTCAAAGACAAGCCTTTTGTGTGCTTGCTTAAGAGTCGATCTGAAAGAAGAACTTGAAGAAGATAAAGAGAGATATCGATGTTTCTTCAGGTAGTGTAAAGGGCCTTTGCGTGGTTGACTGAGCTATTCTGAGACCTTGACAACTGAAGGGTATTAAATGAGACAGTTATATATTACAGGAATAGGGTACTAATGAAGAGAGGACACTTCCTCTTAAAATTACTTTCACAGCTTAAATGTGTTCTTTGAGATCTTTCGCCTTCGTCGCGCGATTCTCACCTGGGCGAGCATTTTTGCCTCACGAGGTTTTGGGAAGTGAGTGCTAAAGGCGATATATTTGTTTCCCTCGCTGAATCGCAGACAAATTGCGTTTAATAACGCAGACACTTGCATCGAGTCATCACCTATGTCATTGGGGACACCTCTCGGATATCCTTTATACGATATGGCCGATATCTGAAAGTTGTAAAAAATAAAGACTAACTTTGTATGTAGGTGTGGATGTTGAAATGTAACTTTTATGCTTAGGAAATATAGTTAACCTGTTACGAGGATCGAAACATTTTCACTTAATCTGTCGCGCAATCCCAGATTTTTCTAGAATTATCTTTAGTCTGTAATATTCCAGAAACTTCTTTCATGTGAC